GTCCGTCTCGCACCTTGCTCGGCTGCCACTGAACTCTGCTGCCTTGGGGCCCGAGATTGCTTTGGAAGCTGTTTGACGGGAAGCGTTTTCCTGATAGGAAACAAGGGCTGCTTCTCCTTTCAGTTAGAAACTCTCTCCATCTTCTCCAGTTTCTGAGCCTTGCACACATTGGCTTGTGAACTGGTGCTTCCTTTCAAATGACAAGAGAGGACCATTCTGTTCGTTTGCATGACTGTGCATGAGGCTACTCTGCAGCGGCTGGGTGTGCTGAATGCCAGGGACCCACGCTGAACGTGACTGTATATCCACAAGTCTAGCCCAACTGGCACTCGGCACACCTTTGTGTGCTCTTAGCTCCCCAGCCGGACGAGAGGCCGGCGACTCTGGGACAAGCTTGGCTGTCCCAGTTGCTCCAAGTTTCTGCCCGCCTCCTGATCCTTCGTGTCCTCCCTCCCCATGTGGTTTTTGCACACCTTTGCCCTCCTCAGTTGGGCTGGCGTCCTGTACTGCATCGCAGTGGTGCCGTGACAGTCCCTTGTGTGTGTGGCTTCCCACAGCTTAGACAGCACTGACTCTGGTCATGTTTCAGGCTGGGTCAGGGGCAGTGAGAAAACCAGCTTGGCTTCCTGCAGACGGATTGGTTTTCTAATGTGCTTAGGTGGCCTGGTACATGCGGCGTGGGCGAAGGGTAGGGCCCAGTGTGTCCTCAGTCCCTTGATGCTTCCGAGGGGCCAAGGTGAAAACTCGACGATCCCTGCTGGGTAAATTGCAGGCACTGAGGCCAGGGGCTGGCAGAGCGACCGTTCGGCGCTGACTGTCCCTTTACCCACAAATGTACGTTTTACATGTCCAGCAGACTTTTGAAGCAGCTGGTTGCTTCGGACTGAGTGGTGCAGCAGACTTTCATCCTCCCTCTGCCCCCTTTCACAGTGTTCAAGCCTGTCCCTGCAGGCATAAGGGCATGTACTGCACAGCTCACGCTACTGGGTTTAAATGTGACAGGTTGTGAGGGAGGGAGGTGACTGAGCAAAAGGCCCTCTGCATCTGTCCGAATCGCCGTAGCCAGTCGGTATTTGCCCTCAGGTTGTCTCACGTGGGTGGTAGGGTACACGGACCCCAGCAGGACTGAGAAGTCAGGAAAGCAGCCACCGCAGACCAGGCATCATCACAAAGCAATGGTGTTCCCCGTCAGAACCCTGTGACGGGCCCCCTTGTCCCCATTTCCCAGATGAGGCTGTCGAGACCTGGAGAGGTGGCCATTGTCTTGAACCTCTACAGCCTCTCTCCAGAGTCCATGCTGTCTGCAGTGCTTAGTAGGTGCCAAACACAGTGCACAGGGCACCCACCTCAGAGGTGGCCTTTGTCTTGAACCTCTACAGCCTCTCTCCAGAGTCCATGCTGTCTGCAGTGCTTAGTAGGTGCCAAACACAGTGCACAGGGTACCCACCTCCTGCCAGGGACACCATGCCATCCCCAGCGCTCCCCTGGGCATGGACTCATGAAGAGGGCAAAGTGTGAAATGGCCCAACTGCTATCCTCTCTCCTCGCCTTGCATGAGAATACAGGAGCAGATTTGACTCACAGACTTGCCCACGAGGAGCTTGTCAATCCAGGAGAAGCTCCGGGGTGAGCCAATGTGAGCACAGAGCCTCCAGGGACTTGTTTTATGGCCCTAACTCAGTCTCAAGTCAGAAGCCACTGCTGAGGCTCCTGGCATCGAAACATGGAAGCCTGCTGGCTGGCTAGGTAGGTACAGGTCTGGCCACGCAGTCAGCTGCCATCAAGCTCAGCTGCCACTGAACTCTGCTGCCTTGGGGCCCGAGATTGCTTTGGAAGCTGTTTGACGGGAAGCGTTTTCCTGATAGGAAACAAGGGCTGCTTCTCCTTTCAGTTAGAAACTCTCTCCATCTTCTCCAGTTTCTGAGCCTTGCACACATTGGCTTGTGAACTGGTGCTTCCTTTCAAATGACAAGAGAGGACCATTCTGTTCGTTTGCATGACTGTGCATGAGGCTACTCTGCAGCGGCTGGGTGTGCTGAATGCCAGGGACCCACGCTGAACGTGACTGTATATCCACAAGTCTAGCCCAACTGGCACTCGGCACACGGTAGGCACTAGCATGTAGGTGCTACGCAACAAGTGAAAGAAAAGCCACCCCCCTTGGTGAGAGGTGTCCCCTGAATCTCAGTGCAGGCCCTACTGGGGGAATGCAAGGTACAGAGGCCCAAGTTAGGCCAGCATCCCCCCCTTCGACGGAGTTACAGAAGCAAACACAAGGCAGAGAGCTTATGAGACCAGTGTTGATTTTGATCCCGAGCAGCCTCTTTCATGACAAAATGGCGCAGAAGCCTGCAGACTTTAGGAACAGAGATAGGTGTTAGCTTTTTGCTTCTTTTTAATTGCTTAGTGCTTCTAATCGTACTGCCTTAACCCTTGGTAATGTACACGATCACAATAAACATTAAGGTACTGCCCGTGTCGGGGCGAGGCTTCCTCTCAGCGTGATGGCTTGGTATGTCAGCCGTGTGCTTTCTCTCTCACAGCCTCACTGCAGAAACTAGGCATGTACAACGGGTGGGCTCTGCACTCAGCTCAGGGAGGGAGGTTGCACGCCTTCGGGCCCATCCTCTGCCGTGTTTCCATCCCATCCGCACGGCCACCGCTCCCGTGGCACACTCTTCAGTTGAGCTCAAACCTGGTTCCCTTCCATTGTTGTCACCCGCTGGCAGTCTGGAACCTTTTCCCAAAGGACCAGCCTCTAAAACAGGCGCAGCTACTTCTCGGATTCTCTGTCAGCTCTTCTCCCACGGACACCCCTGGTCCCTTCAGGTCTTCCTCGATAGTCATCTGAGTACACATCCCCCCAAGGCCTTCCTCAGAGCTGCCTTTGCCATTCACCTGGATCCGTTTCTCTGGCTGTCGACCAGTAGGCCAGACTCCGTCCTGCTCATCAGGGTCAGCGCCGCAGGCCTGTGGCCTTGTCTGTCCGCCTGTGAGGTGAGCCCTGCTTCCAAGTTCTGTGCTGCCAGAACATGCAGCCAGGGCAGGGAAGGGTGATGAGGAAGCCCAAAGAGCAGACATGACGCACACAGAAGCCTCTCCAGCACTGAGCAGGGCTCTCGGGGCCACTGAGCTAGCTGCTTTCCCACCCCCGCCGCGGCCACCATCTTGGCTACAATGGGTACAGTTGGGAAGGGAGGAAGAGCTTTTCTTAATTCAGAGACAGCAGCTCCTAACTGGGTATTTTGAGGGCTCGCCATGACAGTCTGTGACACAAAGACCTAAAAGATAAGGCAGGCTCCTACCAAGCAGGCAGATCCCAGGGGCTGGCCGCCTCTGCTCCTGCTCCTGCTCCTGCCCCGCACTCCCTGCCCCAGGGCCACTTGTGAAGGCCCCTACCCGTGCGCTCTCATGCGGTATCCTCTGGGACTGCTCTTTGCTCATGAATGTCTTTGGCCTAGGAATTTCCTCCACAGAACACGTTCCTCATATGAAGTCGCCCCGGGTGCACAGCACCTTTCACTCTGGACGTTTCCAAAGAACAGCATCGTTGTTTCCTCCTGTTCATTGATTTGCCCTGTGGTGTTCTCTCCCGTTTCTCACTGCCTCTCTAGTCCATCATTTCCGCCCTCTGCTTGCTCTGGATTTTGTTCGCTCCTCTTGCCCTAGTCCCTTAAGGTGCAGAGTCAGGTTATTGATTTGAGGCCTCCCTCGTCCGTGTGCGCATTCACAGCCACGCAAGTCCCCCTGAGCACCGCCCCCTCTGCGTGTTTTCCTCCTCGTTTGTCTCGAAGACTTCCTAATTTCCCTTGTGGCTTCGTCTGACTGCTGGTTCTTTGGGAGTGCGCCGGTTCATGTGAATTCTCTGAATGCTGATTTCTCTTTCTTTCTCTCCTTTATTTTTTATATATACTTTTTAGGTTTTTGCACTTGCTGGAGAGAGGTGGAAGGGGGGTGAGAAATCACCCTCCCCCCAGAGGGGATGGCCACGCCACACCCCTTCTTTCTCCTCTTGGGATTTCAGGCATACACACACACATGACCAGAGTGATTTTCAAACCGCCAGGTCTGGACCTCGAGCTGTGGTGGACCGTGTGGAAACCCAGGGCCTTCACCACCACACCACCTGCTGGCCCCGTGTGCTGCTGAGTTTGGGTTTCACTCCACTGCACATGGAGAATAGGTTCTGTAGGACTTCGGTCCTTTGGGTGTGCAGACCTTTCCTATGGCCTGTGCGTTCTAGTGTGTTCTAGGTGGGGGTCCCCCGGCCGTGCTCACACCCACCCTGCCCTCTGCCCCGGCAGGGCACATTCCGCTGGAGAGCTGCCTCTCCTCACTGAACACCTGCCCCACGTTGCCTCTCAACTCCGAGGCCCGCTGTCCACTGTACTGTGCATTTAAATGCCCTCTCTTGATGTGTGTTCGCAGAACGACTTGTGCTCGTGCGGGCCGTCTGGGTGTGAGCGTGCACACACAATGCTCTACTGTCACATCTGTTTTGTTACACTGCCCATGAGCTGCCTAAACCGTTGTCTTCTGCTTGCAGTGCCTCCACTCT